TGGGAAACGCATATTGTAGTGGCCCATCCCATTTGATGAAAAAGACATCCCCCATGGATCAGGAGCCCAATCCTGCTCTCGAGCAGAATCGCAGGCATTTGTAATTCTGAGATGTCGTGAAGAGGTCTATTGATGGGACCCCAATGTCGGAATATGCTCTGCATGTTTAGTTCCCACTCATTCCCTGGGAGAATTCTCTGCTTAATGTATTTGTTGTGGTGTTTTAACATCTTGGGAGATACGAGGCTAATATATTGACATTGTGCTGGACACACCAATTCCACAGTTTGATGGCTTCAGTGCATAGTGAGTGTGATCTTGCCCCTTCCTGTCGGTTTATATAAAACACTCAGGCAATGTTGTCCATCATTACCCTTATGGTCTCAATTCTGATCAAGGGTAGGAAGCGCAAGCATGCGCTGCAAACTGTGTGCAGTTCCAGGTGGTTTATGTGCAACAGTGTCTCAGAAGAAGATCATCTGCCCTGAATTGTGTGGTGCTGTAGGTGAGCCCCAACCCAGCCTATCAAGGAGGCGTCTGTTGTGAGAATCATTTAAGGTGGAGTCTGTGTGAAAGGGACTCCCACACACATGTTGTGGGGTTGGGTCCATCAGTGTAGAGTCTTTGACTTTGAGTGGCATGGTGAGGCGCTTGTTCAGAGTGTCTTTATGGAACGCAGATGGTTCTTAGCCAGTCCTGAATGCAGTGCATGAGAAGTCCTGCGTGTCATACCATAAATGTGGTTGCCGCTCTATGACCTAATAGTTGGAGGCCGGTCTGTGCTGATATCTGTGGGCTGCTCAGTACTGTGGAGATCAGATTGACTATAATGACAAGTCTGTTTGTTGGCTGTGACACTTTGGCCTCCAGAGCACTGAGATGGGCCCCAATGAAGTCCAGTTTCTGCACGGGTGTCAGTGTTGATTTTGGTATATTTAGTTGTAATCCCAGATGTGAAAAGAGGGCGACAATCCTGTGAGTAACGTCCAGGGCATGTGCCCAGGTAAGTGCCTTTAGTAGGCAAACGTCCAGATAGGGAAATATTATTACCCGTTTGCGGAGGTGTGCTGCCACTACCACAAGAATTTTGGAAAACACCCATGGTGCTGTTGAGATGCTGAAAGGCAGAACTTTGTACTGACAACGTTCTGTCCTCAGAGTAAATCAGAGAAACCTCCTGTGAGTGGGATGTATGGTTACATGAAAACAGGTGCCTTGGAGGTTGAGGGCCGAGAACCAGTTCCACTGTTTCAGTGCTGGTATTATTGTTGTTAGCGTGACCATCCTGAACCGCCGGACCTTTACAAATTTGTTGAGTTTTCTGAGGTCTAAAATAGATCTCTATCCCCTGTTCTTTTTCTGGGTTAAATAGTAGTGGGAATAAAAACCCTTCCCTCTGTGTTGTGATGGCACCTGTTCCAGAGAGCACAGATGTAGGAGGTGGTTTATCTCTTGCTGTAGAAGATGTTTGTGAGAGAGGTCTCTGAAGAGGGATGGGGAGGAAGGGTGAGAAGAAGGGATGGAGATGAAAGGTATTGAACAGCCTGTGTGCATTATTTCTAGAACCCAGGGTGATGGATTTCCATGCTGAGCAGAAAGGGGTCAAACAGTGTCTGAAATGGGGGATGATCAATGATGGTGTCAGCACTGAGGAAGTCGGAGGTCGTTTGGGCCCTCGACCAAACCCTCAAAATTGCTGTTTTGCAGAGGGTTGCTGGGACGCCAATGACTGAGGCGCAGGTGGTCAATGCCTTGGAGGTCTCGATCTGTGGCTTTGTGTGTCGTATTCCTTCTGTTGTTGGGCATACGGGGCAGACCTTGTCTGCTGGGAGGGATAGTATTTACCCTGTTTTTTTCTTGTTGCAGGTGTGTATATCCCCTGGGTACAAAGGGTTCCCCAAGAGTCCTTCAGGGTGTGGAGGGACTCGTCAGTCTTTGTTGCAAAGAGCTTCTGGCCATCAAAAGGGAGGTCTTCCATAGTGGATTGTACCTCTCTTGGGAAGCCAGACAGGTGGAGCCACGAAGCTCAATGCAAACTATGGTGGTGTGCCATGGAGTGTGCCACCACGTCTGCTGCATCTAGAGATGCCTATAAGGCATTTCTGGCTAGGAGATGGCCCTTGGAGATGATGGCTTTACATTGGTCTCTTTTGTCTTCTGGTATGTAATCAATAAAGTCTGAGTTTGGAATAGTTTGTATAGCTGTATTTAGGCATCAGTGCACCGTAATTTGCAATCTGAAATTGAAGAGCGGCTGATGAGTAGGTCTTGAGGCCAAAAAGATCTAATTGTTTCCACGCTTTGTCATATGGGGTGGATTGGTCTTGTCTGCCTCGTTGATTGACAATGTCAACAACTAAAGAGTTCAGTGCGGGGTGAGAAAATAAAAAGTCCATCCTTTGAGGGAATGTAATACTTTTTATCCACTCTCTTTGCAAGTGGGCGGTATTGTTGTCTGCCATATGTTTTTTGCCAGCTCCATAAGTGTTCGTTTATCAGAAGAACTATTTTTGACGAAGATGAAGTTTGGAGAATGTCCAGTAATTTGTGTTGGGACTCTGGGACCTCCTCTACAGGGAATCGGCAATTCTTTTGAAGAGCTCCTGGAAATGTTTGAAATCATCAGAAGTTGTGGATGGTCATAGCATTTTTGCCTCATCTGAAGAAGAGGAGGAAGTGTTGGCTGATGGTGTCATTTCCTGCTCCAGGACTGCCTCCTGTTCCTCAAAGCTTTACTCCAGAGGCTCTGATGGTGTAGCCAGTGAAGGTGGTGAGGGAAATTTAATCCTCTCCCTGTAGAAGTTTGGGGGCCAGGGATATTGTTTCCTGTATGCCCTCCAGGGGTCCCAGTAGGGCCACTGCATGGGGAATGGCATAGGTGATGGCATCTATGGGTGGCCATTACCCGGTCTGGGTGTCAACCCTGTGGTAAGACTTAGGCTGTACAGGTGAGCCTATGCTGAAGTAGTTTGGATGGGAGAGGAGTGGTGAAGGTGTGGTGGGTCAACACGGGACTATGCGTACCAGAGATACATTGGTATCAAAGAGTGGTGATTCTGGCGTCGCTGAGATCAGTAAGTCATTCTGGTGCAGGAAATGGTGCGGTGCCGGTGGTTTCAGTGCCGAGGTGGTTGGTGCCGACAATGTTGTTGTGCATGCAGGCGTCAGTGCCGACACACGAGCTCTCTGTGCTATGGAACCGGAAGGTGACGCCATAGCCTGTGGAGACTGCACCGGTGCCGCATCTTTAGGCAGCTCTGTCGGTGCTGTGGCAGAGGAGGTAGGCTTCTGTTTGCCTCTGAACTCTGAGCCTGCCAGCTTCGGGAATACTAAAAGACTGTTATAATCCTAAACTAGCTATCGATTTTAATCATTGCTGGGAGCTCCGTCTCAGGCCAAGGACGGTTGAGAAGGAACTGAGGGGGGTCTGGTCACGTGCGCTAGATAGGCGCCAATAATGGCGTGCGACAGGGAGACATGCGTGACACAGAGGAACACTGCTGCTGAAATTCTCCAGTCAAAGGCGCAGGGAAGAGGAGAACCCACAGGGACGCTCCTCAAAGGAGAAATATTAGCTACTATCTATGTGACAACTGGTCAAACTGTGTTCCAGAATGTGATTTCATCATCTTTCCATTTTTTCAGCTAGCAAAGCTATGACACATGATGACAGCTAGATTAGTTTTGGTAAACGAATGCAGTGAAACAAGCTTTTCCTGTTCTTGTGCTTTTGATTGATCAGTGAAATATGTTTCACATTAATCATGTGCGTGCAGGAAATCTCTACATAGGGTGACCAGATGAGAGGAAGAAAATATCAGGACACATGAAGGGGGGGGTGTCATTGGCAGAGCAAAAAAAAAAAGCGGAGTGCTGCCGGCGGAGCACAAAATAATAATAAATAAATAAATAAAAGGAGTACTGCGAAATATCGGGACAAATTGCATCCCGACCAAGCATCAGTCCAGATGCGGGACAAACACCTAGATATCGGGACGGTCCTGATTTTATCGGGACGTCTGGTCACCCTATCTCTAGAACTTAAGCAAGAACATTAACTCCCATGGTTCTTACGCATTTACCAAGTATTCTGCTATATTTATTTAGATTTCTTAAAAGCATAATCAGTAATCTCTTGGCACGTGTAAAAATATTAACAGAATTAAACAAGGAAGTTTAAGAGGCGCAATGCCAATAAAACACTTCCTCAGCCACTGAATTCAAAATCCCATAGCCACTGTACCTCAGTACCTTCCCTCCAGATCAGAGAGGGATGGGGAAACAAAACAAAAAACTCCACCAAACAGACTTGGCAGCATGTCTTGGCTTTGGCAGACCGAGGGCAGGAAGTGAGTTCATGGAGGATAGGTCCATCAATAGCTATTAGCCAAGATGGTGAGGGATGCAACCCCATGTCCCTAGTCACTTGATTGCCAGAAACTGGGAGTGAACATCAGGGGATGGATCACTCACTGATTGCTTGTTTTGTTCATTCCCTCTGATGCATGTGGCACTGGCCACTGGCGGAAGACAGGATATTGGGCTAGATGGACCATTGGTCTGAGCCAATATGGCCGTTCTTATGTTCCAGAGGCAAGGACCTTTCATTGAGAATGCCCTGGCAGCAGCTAGCTCAAGTGCTGGCAGCCAGCCTGAAATCATTCAGAGAGTGGCAGTCTCTGAGGTAGGCAGGGCCCATGCAGAAGACAACACAGTATTTAAAAAATCAACATCTTAAACGTCACCTATACATCAACTGGCAGCCAGTGCAAGCTACTTATGGGAAGTCGCATTGAACAAATGGTAGCCACATTCTGCAGTGGCTGCAATTCTCGGGTGTGCTGAAGGTATAGCCCCACGTAAACCACTCTGGAACAATACTTGTTACATAAAGTCTAGTCAGCCACTCATTTATCCACTTCCCAAATTCTGCCTGCGTGATACATGCAAGGCAGAAACAGAACCAAAGTTGTTCCAATAGACCGTACTCTGGGGCTCACCTGATCATCTATCTTCCTCTGAAGCTGAACCACCTTGTTCTCCATGCCGATATTGAGTTTCTTCAAGTGCTGTGCAGACCGTGCTTCAATCTTCAGTTTCTTCAGCTCTTGCCTGGCCTTCATGCGCCTGAAGTAGCATTGGATGACCACAGCTGCACACTTGAAGCGGAGGAATTGCTTACGCGCCAGCCAGGCCCGGGCACGTTTCTGGATGATGGTAGCTTTGTGCTCCAAAAGGATCTAGAAAACATGCAGAAACAAAAGACAATCAGGAGAAACATGCAGAAACAAGAATCTGGAGCATAAAACAAAGCTGCTATTGGTTAGTAACAATGGCCCAACTGAATTTACTGCACAGCACTGCCCTGTTTGTTCCTCTCACATTTCTCCTCTGCTCTGCCCCGAAAGGAATTGAAGTAACATCCCTGCATCTTTACATTATTCTAGTAAAACAGTTGCAGGAACAGATGAATGATCATCTAATTGCTATTATTTTAGGGGGGCTTCCCCCCTTTTTTATATTTTCCATCTATCTTCAGTACCTGTATGGCCACTATCACTATACTATCAAAGCACCTCACAAATATTGATGTATTTACCCTCACAACACCCTGTGAGGTAGGAAGATGCTGTTACCACCATTTTACAGATGAGGAACTGAGAGGCTAAGCGACATTCCCAAAGTCACACAGGAGTCCATGGAACGACAAGGAACTAAGGAGGTGCTATGCAAGTATCTCCACACAGCTCTTCCGATGCTTCTTAGTCTTCATTTACAGCACTCTATAATTTTTGGTCTTGGCACTTTCAGGAATACAGGCTGCTGTAGAGATGGGGATGGCTGTTCCCAAGGAATAAACAGGAGACCTACTAAATTCACTTAGCGATCTAATGAAATTTTATGCTAAGATCTTCTGAGGGCAATAGGGGAGTACACTAACCCACTGTGCCAAATGTGGCAATATATGGAGCCACACATCAGCTGTAAAGTTTGCATTTGGACCCAGCTCTCTATCTAAACTTCCCTAAAGCTTGAGGGTGTTTGGATCCAGAGGCTTGGTTTCCACCAAACTCTAATACTTGATTGTTAAGGTTTGAGTTCTCTTGAATAGTGGATAGTTAAAAAGAATAGCGTTTCTGAACAGTGGTAGAATAGCAGCCCTATCTACAAAACAGGTATTGTGTGAGCAATGACTGTGTGAGTCCCCCCACTCCCCAATCCAATGGGAATCAGCTGGGGCCTGCAGGGATCTTCCAAGTGGCTAGTTCAGTCTACATGCCCATTCATTCTTGACCTCTTTTCTAGACCGAGGGTACAAGTGACCTTACTTATTATCAATTGTAGTGATGCTTTTTGTCACATGGGTGTCTGCCCTTTGGAAACTGGACTGAAACCACTGAACAGCCATCTGATAGTAATCATTTTTGGTGACTACCAAGTGGAGCTGGATCTCAGCCGATGACTTTGATGTGGAGGGTTCCCTATGCCATTACCCGTCTCCTGAGTCTGGCTGTCCTTTCCTGTGTCATTTATTATGATCATCAGCATCACTTATTTCCTTTCACTTGGCATCTGTTACTGCATTAAAATTAATGGAGATCATTAATTAAATAGGCAATAGCAGTAAATGTGAAAGCAACTAGCCACCTTTCATTTATGCTTGACTTTAACAGACAGTAGCATGGCTCAGACGTGTGCATTTTTCCTCAGGTAAGATTTTCCCTGGATGTATTACGTCAGATGACATTTCCTGATTTCCACTATGCCCGTACGCATCTGTTTGTGTGAATAACTTCATTAAGCTAGTCCTTTGAGGTGCTGCTGCCTAATCATTTCTGCTCGCACAGCTTTAGTGCTGCAATATTTGCAGTTAATACTTGGGAACTCCCGAAATACAAAACCTCACAATTTGGAGAAAAGATCAAAGCGTCTTCAATAAATACACGACTGGACTGAACTCTTGGTAGATAAATTTAAAGGCATATCTCCCTAATGCAGTGACATTTTGTGAAGTAGTAGTACCTTGTGGTAAATTTTCCTGACAAACATGCCCCGAGCGAAGGCCTGAATAGTGATAGTGGCGTTGCGGATTTTCTGGAAAGCACGAAGGATCCTCAACATTCGGTATTGTTTCTGGAAAATGATGGCAGCTCTTGTTTTCCTTAGGTGGTCTGCCAGTCTGTGAAGTGCAAGGAAGAAGAGGTTAATGGTAATAAGTATCAGAGGGGTAGCCATGTTAGTCTGTATCCACAAAAACAACGAGAAGTCTGGTGCATCTGAAGAAGTGTGGGGTTTTACCCACGAAAGCTTATGCCCAAATAAATCTTAGTCAGTCTTTAAGGTGCCACTGGACTCCTCATTGTTTTAATGGTAATACTAATTCAGTTCCACCATGTCACCCATATCTATACACAACATTTTTGCCATAGCTGGTATTAAGCTGCATTAGCAAACAATCCTTTGTTGATGAGTTGTTTGACACTCTTTGAGAGAGAAAAACAGCAGTAAACTCAGGAAACGAAGCTGATGCCATCTCTCCTGTTAAATTATGGTGATGTGCATCCATCCATTAAAGGCTCGCTGTATCTGGGGATATTTGAAACACTAACAACAAATGTAACATTTGGAACTGCTTTTAGTACTTCTCTTTAAAAAAAGTTTATTTTTTCCATCTCACTCTCTCTCTTGGTTTCTTTTTTCCCCTGTCTTAAATCCTCAAAACTCTAAGCCGTCATCATCATCAAGGTTCGTTATTCCAGTCCTCTACTACCAAAAACAAGAGTAGTACAGCATGTTCACTGGTTACAAGTACATTGAGCAAAACAACAGCAAATTGATTTGACATTTAAAGCAATGCGCACTGGTTTGGCAACATTCATGAGCAGGACTCCAAGCGATTCATGCACAGTGGATAATTTGGGAAGTGATTAGTACCCTTGTGTGCTGCTGCCATTCTGAGACTATATGGGGAAAATGTATGACCAATTTATTGTTAAATCTCTTAATAAATATCCATAAAACCACAGTTTAGTTTGATGGTTAGCTTGTTTCACTGATTTTATGATGTATTCATTGCCCTCAGCATGAAACATCACACTTGTATTTGCTTTGGTTTTACAAGTTGTGTTAAACTTTTTATTAACATTAAATTTAAAAAAGGCTCTTTGTATGGGCCCTTGTATTCCTTCTTACAGACACACAATCCCTCACTGAATCGCATAGAACTGGAACCTCTTAACAACCAGGGAGGGGAGGCAAGAGCAAACAGGGCTGCCCGGGGGGGGAGGGGAAGGGGGAAGTGGGGCAATTTGCCCCAGGCCCCGGCCCCTGCAGAGGCCCCCACGAGAATATTGTATTCTACAGTATTGCAACTTTTTTTTATGGAAGGGGCCCCTGAAATTGCTTTGCCCCAGGCCCCCTGAATCCTCTGGGCGGCCCTGAGAGCAAAAAGGCTGTTTATCCAGCAACACCATTCTCTATGCACCCAGCACGAAGAGATGGATGTCACAGCAAGGTCATCTCAAAGGAAGCAGAGGGTTGAGGTAAGGTCAATCAGGATAGAACATGAATATGGAACACCAAGTATTAGATTCCTCTCTCCCTCTTCCCGCTCTCCCGCCACCCCAGCTCTAGAGGTCATGACTGCTTGATACACAATCTCAATGAGATCTCAAAGAATCTTCACTTTCGTGTGGAATTGTCAGGAGAAATGTACCATACAACCTCCTACTTGGGTTGTGCTTGGCTGCGCTAGGTCTATAATCCTCTTCCACTGTGCACTGTTTGCGCAAAGCTTGTCTTATGAAGGCACATTCCTAAGATATGCCATTCACCTGGAAGGTCTGTGTTTCCTCATCAGCTGATACGAAGGAAATGCAGCCCCAACACTGTAGGTGCCCCTTTATTTCAACTCCTAACAATGCCAGGCAATTTGCATTATGGCAGCACACTCCTGGGGATTAAGGGTTTTCAGGCTGGGTCTTCCCAGCAAGTTCCAGCCACTGCTGAGGGAAAGGGCTAGCCAGTCTTCCCTGATTCTCCATCACAGGGCCAAGGTCTTAGAAACAACATGTCCCCAGCAGCCCTTATATAGGTAGGCAGAGGGATGGGGTTGAACTGATCTATGCAAAAAGGAGCAAGAGGGTGGGAGGCAAATAAATAATATTTAAAAATGTGTGTAAACTGTCAAATGTTGCACAACGTGAATCGACGTAATTGGGTGAGATTAATTACTGCTACCCGTGTTCTCTTCCTTCCCTCCCCTCCTATTTGTCATCCTCACTTGTTATGCCTCAGCTTTAAGTAGACTGTAAGGTCCTCGGGGCAGGGACCACGTCTATGTGTTTGTACAATACCTGGCACCGTACAGCCCTGATTAGGTCGTGTGTGCACTACTGTAATAATAATGAAGTACTGACTGGACAGGAGTTGCGGCCACTACATGAGACATCTGTGACTGTTATAAATAAAATCACCCCACTCCCTGGCTCTGCTCATCACCGCATTTTCCATGAGGTTGTTACATTTCATAACTGCAAACAGAATGAATCGAATTCAGTTATGACAACTCTAAATATACATCCGCAATATAGCGTGATTTATAGGAAATCAGTGTGTCACCTCTGAAGGGACAGAGATTCCTCAACCTCAGCCATCCAAATTAACTGATAAAAATCAACATCCACACAGTAAATCAGGAGAAAAGGACAGGCCATGTTTAAAAGATAGGATGCCTGAAGAGGACGCTTAGCTCAATAGACAGCATCTTGTGTCACCCAAGTACAAACAGGGTTAATTGGGCTGCAGCTTATTTTGCAGTACCTCTGAATGGAACATATTAACTCAGAGCCAAGGAATAGATTACTGCTCGGCAACCTTTCAGCTAACAGACTGAATTCCATCGAGAGAAATCGTAAATGGGGTTGAAGGCAGACAACATAAAGGATCAAAAACCCGCTCTGGCACATGAGATTGCTAGTCCCGTAGCAAGGATTTTTAATAAATCTATTCACGGGTAGGACAATACGACTGGAGAATAGCTAACATTGTATCTATAGTTAAGAAAGGGGGGATGGGAAATGTGATCCAGGCAATTACAAACCTGTTATTCTGACCTCAGCAGTATGCAAGGTTTTAGAACAAATTGCTAACTCCTAACCTTTTCAAGGCGGTTATTCATCCAGCTGGGTTGGGAGCCTTTCCCTACAAGTTTCTTCCCCTTACTTAGGATGCAAATTTCAAATCATTTTTGTATAGCTCATTTGAAGAAATTCCAAGTTTTTATTCCTCTCTCTCCTCTAAACAGACAAACTCTTCAATACCTGTATTCCAGTCACGAGGGCTACTCCATCTTGTTTCTGTAATCCCTGTAATACCTGATTTGACTTCCTGTACCTGTAGTTACAGTTCCTCCATTTTATTGCCCAGGCTCCTTGCATTCGTGTGCAAGCAACTCAGTTGTTTCCCTTGGACCTCACCAGGTTTTCTAGCTTGTGGTGTTCCATTATCCCTTACTATATCTTCATTTAGGGGATTTTCCTGCTCCTGAATACTGAAGCCAGGTGTGGTGATTTCACAAGTCTCTCAACCTTCTCCTCATCTCCCAGTTTAAAGCCCTTCTTATCAATTGGGCCAGGCTTGATCTCAGAAGGTTAATATCCTAGGTAGTCAAGTGGAGCCCATCAGTTGATAAGAGTCTTCTTTCTGTAAATGCCTCCCAATGGTCGATCATCCCAAAGCCTTCCACAGAGCACCAATCCTTGAGCCATCTGTTGATCTTCATTATCTTGCCACGCCTTCACCATCATTCTTTAGAGACCGGAATTACTCCTCTATAAATCACGTGAGCTTCCATTTCTTTAAGTGCCTTACCCAGCTGAGCATTCCAATCCATTCCAGTGGGAATCCAGCAGTGTCATTCATCCTGACATGCAGCACCATCAGTGGATTTTTCCTCCCTCACATCAGAATCCTCTTTAGCCTCACATCCATATCTCATGCCCTTGCTCCTGGCACAGAGCACACACTTCTGTTTTCTGAATCTGGTCTGGTGACATGCCTGTCAATTCTTTGGAGTATTTAGTCCTCGCTCACATGAGCCTGTCTCTCCCTGGTGCTTGTATGACTCTGTTTTATGTTCTCCGTCACAGCCTCCTCATATCATATTCCCATTCTTCCTTAGGCTTCAGTCCGTGGCTATCTCCATCTCTTCTGCAGGGATTGGCATTGCTTCTTTTCTTCCTCACCTTCTGCCTGTTTCTCCTCCTCATTCCCCAGTGCAGCAAATCTGTTAATCAACCCAATTTTACCACCAATAGCTGGTGTCCTCCTCTGACCTGTCCCCATAGTCACATTCTTCCATGGATTATCCTTCTCTTTCGGCAGTCCACCCTCCAGGTCCTTTTGTTTGGCAGGTGTCCGCAAAACTTGGGTTGTCTATCACCTCCTCTCCTGCATTACACCTTCAAATTCCTGCCTGAATTCCACCATTGTCTCCAGCTGCATCTCTAATCCTTGAATCTTCTCCACCATGAGCTCTACCAGGTGACATTTCAAGTCATGTTTTCAATATATATATATATATATATATATATATATATATATATATATATATATATATATATATGTAGTAGTGTGTGTGTGTGTGTA